ATCAGGAATCTGCTGGTCCATCACCTGTTTTGGACGAAAACCCTCTCCCACTTACACGAATGTGAGTAAATTCTCTTCTGCTTGCTTTACCTCACTTTTTTCCGGAAGAATTTCATAGCAAGAATTTAATCGCACGGTCTGCCGAGTGCGCTGGCCTGCACTACACGCAACAATGCAACAAATATTTTCGATTAGATGGTTTCAGTTATGCTCACATATAGTGGAAGTGCAGAGTATTCACGGTGAGTGGCTTTTTTATGATGTAACTGGATAGAAGTGCGTGGATGTATGACAAAGCCACCACCTCCGACATTTCGTAACGCGTCTGAGTAGACCGTTTTAGTGTTATAAGGTGCACAAAGAGAAGCACTCTCCATTTAGTGTCATGCGCGTGTTCGTTTCGTCCGTTTCCAATAACGTCCTGTTCAACCTGAGATCTGATTGCATGTCACCGATTTTTTGACCACCCAACGTCGTAGGTGGGAGCACCCAGTGTGCAGGGTACTGAGGTAAGAGGGTTGCTGGTTTAGCCAATATAGTTTCCTAGAATGCTGAGGTTGGCCTGTCAGCAACGAACCATCGACTTGATCTATTTTGAATATTATTGGGTACTGGTGTTCAGTATATAATGATCGTTTCAGAACATATTGAAAGGTACTTGATATAGTCAACGTGGAATGAAAGACAATCTCGTTCTGGAGGATGTTGTACAGTACGGAATAGAAGAAGCAACGAAGCCCCTGCTAAAATAGGGTTAAGGTTAAAATAAAGTAAGTTTTCATATCTGTTCCCTTTTAATTTCCTTAGTTTAAGGTATGTTCCTCAGCTGCAATATTAAATCATAGTTATCGTGACATGACCAATCTTTCTGCGGAGATGACAGATTCTGTTAAGTTTCAAATCTCAGCTCACAGAGCAGATTCGAAAGATTGTATCTGAACCACCCAAACAAGAGCATTCTATATCTGGATTCCTGATTTACGGTAAGGAAGAAGAGTTCTTTTGGCCGATGTATCAAGCGTATCCGACACAATATCATTTGTATTGCCACTGTATTATCTGCTGGACGGAATGATTTCTCTTTTCCATAATCTCCAAGTGTTCCGGAAAAGGACCAGCTCGCTGAGAATGCACCTCTCATTCGTTGTCAACTTTCTGCTCCATATCTGCTATTTCCATACATCTATGGTAAAGCTCTTGTAAGGTCCTCCTTTAGTTTTTAAATTATTGTTACGTTAAGAGCTAGTAAAATATCGAACATCGCCTCATTTAGATCCATGCTGCGCCACACGAGAAACGAATTTATTTCAGAGTGATTTGATGTGTGATGAGTCAAATTTTTCCATCGCTTCAGCAGTCCGTAAGTGGTGAATGGATCTTAAATAATTGTTATTTTACAAAATGTCTTATTTGAAGACGCAATTCACAATTGCGCTACCATTTCTATCAGAAACGTCCGTCGTTTGTCATTCCCTCTTTCATCTTCGTATTGCCTGTCGCGTTTTCATACAGCATTTCTAGTCCTACGAACAGTTTGTTTGCAAAATCATTCGCCTCCACAGTCTTCAAGCTACTTTTTGTACGGTCAACATAGTAAGCTTTCCGAGTTTTTTCATCTTTCTTTTATACTTTTCCTTTATCGTCTAACATATTGACTTCGTACTAGCATGTCTATAGCATACAACGTCCGCTGCTGTTTTGCTCTTACTCTCAAAAATGTCTGATATCTGACTGTTCTCTTTTGGAACTCTTCACTGTTGAATAGAAGTTATACGGTTTAATATTCATGTAACCTAAATTCTACTATTTGTGGGGCATTTTTGTTTCATCACCCGTTTATGTTCATATTTTTCATTATCTTGTGAATTGTATGTGAATAATAAATGAAATTTCGAAAAGATTTTTGCAGCACTTTCGTAGCTGAACGGCTCGTCCTCACTGGTTGTGTGGGCCCCAGCATAATCTCCATTTTTCGGAGATTTCCTGCTTAAGCCACTGTGGTTCCTTCGAATTCCGAGGTCAGTTTGCCCTAAGTCCGCCCAAGTCTTCAACACCGCGGGCAATCGCAGCCTTCGTGGATCAGAGCGAGCTTTGCCACCATGCCACTTTGATACCAGGACGGTGTTGGATCCTGGTTTTGGTTTACTCTTAACTAGGCTTCTTAATGGGAATGCTGGACTCCTTCTCAGCGTAGGAGACTGCCAGAGAATGAAACTCTCCGCTGTATATCGCAGGCTGACACCCAGGAACACCTCTCAGCCACGATGAGGCGGTACACCGTTGGGAGGAACGTTAGAAATTTCTATTAAGAAATTGAGAAGTAAATAATACAATAGGAGGTTTGGTCCCTAGATATGAATATACACAGGCGAGCAGCTAGGAGTGAAGAATAACTTAGTGGTGAAGTCAAAAAATTGCCTATAGTAGTGTTATAGAATTCTCAAACAAGAAAGATGCAATCCTTGCTTTTAAATCATTGGTTTCCTATTCGATGTTGTCAAATATTGTTCATAGTTGGGTGTCTTTAAATATAAGAGCAGACAGTATTTGCATTACTTTGTTGTCTCCAGGGAGAGATTGGAGAAATATTGGATGTGCTCAGTGGGCCTGAAGTTGATGAGCTTGTGCTTTTTCCAGACGGGTCGTGTGTCTAGGGGCTGACTTTAATGAGAATGGTTTACAGAGCGCAGTAACTATACAACCAGATCCCGAGACCACCATCTTCGCCTGATCACCCAAGCTAGATAAGATTACCCTGCACTTCGTCAACATATGATCCCGGATAGATGATACGAGGTCATATAAGTTCATGAGGACCAAGCACATGTCCTTTTTGGCTCGTTAATGAAACTGTCTTTGTTCCAGTAAGAATCTATTTGCTGGACAGTTTTGATACCATATACTATTATTCAGCTTATATTTTCGAGAAATGACATTTCGCAACTTCTTCAGTGATGAATTATGTTGATCTGGTACGTTGATAGCGCTAATGTAGTCCATTGGCAGAACACCTTTACTTATTGACTTCATTCTACTTTAAAACATTTTAAAAATGCGATAGCTTTACAATCTGATGGCTTGCTGATGGCAAAAGATCGATAGAACTAGCTGAGAGACAGGCTAGCGAAGGACCTTCATGGTGTGGTGGTGAACGCGTTACTCCCTGGAAAGGACAATAGCGCGTTCGTTCCCCGTCGCAAACACCTGCGGCCCGGAGTTTTGCAATTATCTCAGCATCATTAAAGCTTTACAATCATTTGGCAAAGTTTTCATGTTTAGCCATGAGCCGAGGTTTCACGACAACTTCCAGACACGTACTGGATGGTGCGAAACGAAGCAAACCACCTTTGACGTAGCACGAAAAAGGGAGGCCTGCAACTTGGTAGTAGAGCGGTGTATGGGAAAACGAATGAATCGTAAAAGTCCCACAAAACAGTGGTCTTATTAATTGCGGTATGTAATTGAAATTTACTAGTGATACCGCCGAAATGTCACGAAATGGGAGCCCAGCAACACTAATCTGGTGAATATGCCAGAAAAACTCTAAATCCTGTCCCCTTAATTGTGATATTACTATTTGTTATTAAATTTTATGAATCTTGGCTAATTTCTGAAATGGTGGCTTAGCTAGACATACCTTATATGTTGCAAAAAGAGTTATCGTAGTTATCGACACTACCATGTGTAGATGGTGGACGTCCTTTTTATATTTCGCCACAGACAAGAGCTCGAAATGTTCCATGAACATGGAGGGATAGACATAAAACTCATAGGAAAACGTAGACCATTAAAAAAAGATGAGAGCTAGTAATAAAATGCGTATGAAAGTCAAATCACCTGCTGAGTGGGAAGAAAGTCCAGAGTTAAGTTTCAATTCATATCGCAAACGTCAAATTACGTCTCGTTCCATGTCTCTGCTAATAAAAATGGATTACGTGCTTCAAGTTTTAACATGACCATGTTATCGCTTCAGCAAGTTTTTTTATAACAATCTGCTAATGACCTTACCTTCAGCCCTTCTGGCCTATGGATGTCCATGGACTGAAACGTCACTTTGACTCCATTACAACGACGTTGCTGCACGTTTTCCAGCTAATCGCCATGGTACTGGCATTTCAGTAGCACTAGATAAATTTTCAACAGCTAGACTACGTAAGGACCTAAGACCTAATGAAAAGGTTTCTCGTAGTTATTCTGTGGGCCCATACCATTCCTCTAAAGGATTATCTTTATTTTAAACATTTAAAATTCTCAAAGAGGAAAAACTTCAACGTAGTAAAGAAATCGAAATGTGAACCTAATCGTGACAAAAGCTAACATCAACGTCGTACTTGGGCTATTCTGTCCGGCGAAATCTAGCTTATCAAACACGCTTGCTGCCGAAGAACCGAGATACAAACAAGTTTCGATGAAAAAAAAACTGTAGAAGGAAACGACTTCTGTAAAAAAAAAAGGTAATTTAAGTGTGATGGAACAACCTGAAGTTTATTGTCAAACGTCTGCAAATTCTAGTGGTTTCTACGCTATCGGATGAAGTTCACTATGAGCTGGGAAAGGTTAAAGTAGAAACGCCAGAACATCTTAAGCCAGGTATGCATTAAAACCAACGCATACCGTGACAATTTTTTGATACTGAATATGAAATTGCCATAAATTTTAAGTCTTCAAAGTGTAACGCTCCGTTCGATTACTACAAAACTGCTGCCACCAGTAACTACGACCATTGAAAACAGTAAATGGTTAAGCCATTTTGAGGTAATATTCCATAAAATAAGTCGAAAGTGTTAAAAGTTCACAAACCCAATAAACATCTCTTTATAAAGAAGCAGTATTTGAAATCTGCACGATAACTCGCCACATTCAACAGAAGCAAAACATATATTTCACAGGAATAACATATTCAGAAACAAAATCCTGAAAACTCTGGAAAACACTTGAAAACAACAAAACAAGTGGAAAACAATTCGCCTTATAAGCTTTGGAAACTATTCGAAGATATATTATCCTGCGCAAAGAGGTGGTATCACAGCAATCTGACTGCTCTGAAGTAGGTAGATCTCATCACCGTCGTGAACGTACCTTAATAATTATTACCATCTATTTATAATAATCGAACAAGTAAGTAAAAGGCAGAAGAAGAAGAATGACCAGCATAATGTGCATGTGAAAATGTCACTAACTTAAGATCGACAGCCAAAGCGCATGCGTATTCAATGCTGGCGAGCTCAGTGCACATCTAAACACAATAGAAGTTACACATACCATGCTTCCAAAGGAAAGTTCTGCAATACTAAAGCTTTGGTCATAAGCATAACTGGCGCAAATCATTTAATTCTTTACGAGAATACTAATCTTCTACAAACTTGTTACATATTACCAACAAGCTTAGTCCTCAGTAATTCTGTTTTCCAACAGAACATGGGCTGCGACTGGCTGTAGTGGCTACGAGTGGGGCAGACTTTGGCTTGGCTGACCTCGGGATTCCAGGGAACCACAATGGCTAAAGCGGCAAAAGTCCGAAAAAATGGAGATTATGCTGGGGCCCGCACAACCAATAATGGCGGGCCAACCAACTATCGAAGTAACAGAACATCGAGATACAATAAGAACGGGTTCATGTAACATACAGGGATCCGAGGTTAAATGTGAGATAACAATTCGTTGATAAAAACCAATTTAACACATTTCATTAGGATGACTAAACTAAAAAACTGGGCTTAAATTCGAGAGCCCGACTGCAAGTAAGATACGGAAAAATCTAAGGGAAAGAAGTTATCTATTGACGATGTAATAATGTTTAGTTTTTTATAAACTAGAGAAAATGTGAATTGACGTGAGCCGTTTACAGTGTCATTTATGAACCACTCATTGCAAGGAATTCTCCACTATCTGCTACCTTTCAAACATTTCCGTTAATGACCCAAATACCAAGCTTATACTAGCACAATAGCTTCGCTTTAGCTGAGGTTCTTAGGGAGCCTAGAAACAAGCTTATATGCATTACCATTAAGTGAAGCATTTGCAGGAACGTAGATGTTCGATACACTAACGAACAGTGCTAACTGTTACGTTCACAAAGTTGTCAACCTCTGAAAGAATATAAATGGAAGACGTACCTCATAAAAAATCGAGCGCTTGAGTGCTTTATACGTAGTGCTTTTGGGTAAGCAGACCAGCATTTCCTCACATTCCATTAATTCTCGAGCCTTGGCAAAGAACAATAAACGGACCTCCACACGATCCACTTCCATGTCACTTTGTATTTTTCTTTAAAATTGAAAAATTAAACTCGCGATGGTGTATATAACCCTTAGCAAGTGGGAGTTCTTCTAAAGCGTTGGTGAAATCACAAGCAGAAGTATCACAATGAATAAACACCAAATGGAAAGTAGAAGATGACTTCGAGCGGAGAAAAACACTTTATGTCGTGAAACAAAAAAACAGCTTCAAACGCATACATTACAATGGTCTTCAGCTAACAATAATATCACAGAAAGGACGCTGACAATAATTCACTAGTGGTCCCACTCATAACAGCACTGCTCTGAAGTAGGCCAAATCGCCGAAACGTCAGCCATCGACCAGTGACAACAACAACAATAACAAGAACAACAACAACAGCAACAACGACAACTTAAGCCAACCTCGCATTAGCTCAAAAAAAATCAGTTCATAAGAACATATAAATTAAGATCATACTAGATTTTTGAAGCTGTACGATCACTGATGAATGGAAAGACGAACACAGACGCCTGTCAACTTTCACATAACCGAGAAATATCCCTAATGAAATGAGACACAGGCAAAATATTAGCGCATAAGTAAAACCGATGATAATGAAGTACAAAGAAATATGTGGAATAAACCGGTGAATAAAACAAATCCATAAGAAGACAAAAAATATAAGCAAACTTGATCGTTCGTAGAGGATACGTCAAGTAGGTGGAGGAACCGTTAGACCATGACGTTCTCCTATGGATCGCTTTCTCGTTCGGTGACACCATCTCCACATACATACCGAATCCTGAGAGCACAACAGAAATGATAACAAGCTTGAAACCGGCTAAGAAAGTAGAAATTCCAGAAAAAGCCGCACGGATGAGAAACATTTCCTGTCAGCTGGTGATTTGTAGACAAATATCACGGGAAGATATGAAAGCAAATCGACCGCAACTGTGTGAAACTATTTACATTTAAAATGTGGGAACACATTTACTACAAGAAAACGTATTTTATTGATGCATACCTGACGGACGTCCCTGTCAAGCAGCTCCCATCCAAGAAGACACCGCAAATGAAAGTGGACATCGACACGCACTCTTCATACTAATCGATATCATCGATTCCATACTAGGACGCGGAGATCATTTGACCTTCGGCTATAGTCAAAGAAGTAGTCGTGATCTGGTTTACGGTCAGATGCTGAAGAATAGTACTGATAAGTGTTTGAAGACTTTAATAAGGAAATGAAGCAAATAAGACCAACCACTAAACGTTGAAAGATGACTGCTAGTGCCTCGTGTTTAATTGCAGTATTCACAACAATGACATTCATAGTCTACTTTCACTTACTACCTTACTTCTTTTGGTGAACCTTACTCTGTTCACCAAAATGATTAAAATATCAGTGAATGTCGATGTGATCAGTTTTTGATGTTCTTTCAGGGAAATGTCAAACCACAATGATGAACAATCACCGTTATTACGTGCATTACTTACCCACTTATTAGTTAGGCTTGAGAATCGACGAGCATCACGTCTTTTTCTACACGCGTCGTGAAAATGTTTTTGAGAGGGAAATCAGTGGTTTTCCCCGTAGTATGCTTTACATCATTACGGGCGCTTGAAGTGTAGTGGTCAGAGGCGCCCTGCAATACACATGGGATTGATTCCCGTGGTCCAGGCTCGCCATACACTTCACCCTTCCGGGTTCACCAAATTGATATCAGACTTGTCTGAGGAGATAGCAGCAGTAGCTTGATACATCGACTGACCACCGCGAGTCATTATAAAAGCCAGATATGAATTCAGTCACCTTCAACGCTTAGTGCTTAGTGAAGTCGAATGCATGGCACAACGCTTATGGACTGATTAACGCTGAGACCTTATCCTTTATCTTTTATGCTTTACATCCGGTTGGGCATAGGCGTCTTCTGCTCTTGTGCATCGGTTGTCGTTAAGATGGTACTGCAAATCGGGTTCACCTGGCTTGCCACCTCTTAGTGTTTGTAGTGAAGCCTTCTCTGATCTTCGACAGATGTCGGAACATTGGACTGCTCGTCACATTTACGATAGGAGACAAACACAGTACCAGCTTTTTAACTGCGTATTGGATAGTGCTATGTGATTACCTTCCATCGCGTCTGCTCCAGTCTCTTGGCTTCAACAAGTATATTGTGTCTCAAGGATTCGTGGATTCAAGAAAGTTGGCATTGAACGGGTTGTTCTTTGCCCTCTTCAATAGCTTCTCGAAGGAGTTTTTATCGAGCGGAGCCTATACAGCCCTCCAGCTCAACTTTAGAATCAGGTTATTTATCGTGCTGAATCTTCAATAAACGTTTACTTCCATTTCACTTCTTTACATTGTGCTCAGCGTCTTTTGGACGTCGTGTGTTGAATAATCTGCGGCAAGAGGACTTCGCTTCCTATAATTCTCTAAAGTGGAATTTTATTCGAATTGATATTTTGTGCCCAGTACAAGTAGTTTTTGTGTTTCCGACATTTATGATTGGGCTAAAAAGCTCTCGGCATTGATCAATCCTTGAGGGATGCGCCATGCATTAGGCTTCAATAAGCAGCGTTAGAAGTGGTTGAATGCGTATTCCTGATTATATACTAAAATTGCAACAACGCATAGATAGAGCTAAAACTGTGTTGTAATCATCTCTCTTGCACGTGTAAACTGACATTCAAACCTTGTGATCTAAATATAAATGTTAGAGCTTAAAGCAAACGGATGCTTGAACGACGAAAAAAGCGCGCTCTAATTCGATAGGCTTACATGTCGTACGTTCTTTTCTCGAAATTTCGTGAACATGTTGCAGCGCGTCCCTTGACGCGGCAACGCCAAGTGTCCCATTGGCAGCATCTGCACTGTCAGGGGTTCGAGTTTTCGCACAGTTTTCGTTGTTTTGAACTGTTTTGATTGCGAAATATAACTTCAATGATGCTGAGATATTTGCAAAACTCCGGACCGCAGGTGTATGCAGTGGAGAATGAACGCGCTATTGTCCTTTCCGGGGAGGTGGCAAAAGATCGATAGAACTAGCTGAGAGACAGGCGAAGCGAAGGACCCACGTGGTGTGGTGGTGAACGCGCTACTCCCCGGTAGGGACAATAGCGCGTTCGTTCCCCACCGCATACACCTGCGGTCTGGAGTTTTGCAAATGTCTCAGCATCATTGAAGTTATATTTCACAATGTACACCCTGTCGTTAAAAAGAGTTGGCAGTAAATAACAAGTTAAAAATGTTTTGATTGCTTTAAGGTTTGAACTGTGGACAAAAAATATGTAGAGTGTTTCTACTCATTGAATTCTGTACTAAGTTCACATCGTAAGGCAGTTCATGACTATGCTTCTTTATTCTTAGTTTATTCGACATTGAATTTTCTTCCATTAACTTTTTCAAGAGGATGATGTATCTCTGTTTTATCTGGGCTAAAAATTGTGGGCAACACGCTAATCTTAAGCCTTATATTACGAGAAGAACAGAAATACTTCTTTGTGAACCTAATTTGTAAATAAGAAAACTTTCTAAACTGCTGTTGCCAGAGATCTATCGAGTTTCTAACGAGGTTTGGAAATTTGCTTTTGAGTATTATTAAAGCGCTAATAATCGCAACTTGGATCGTGAGAACGAAACAGAAGAACCAATGGAATCTAGTGCCAAGGAAAACAAGGTTTGACTGAAACAAGTTTTCTGATTTGCTGCTTTTTAAATTGCATGAATTTAGGGTTTGCTTCTCCTGAATCCAGTAGGGGACACCTCTGTTGCAACGGCAGACTCCTCTCGATCTCAAATCCCAGTGAATGGAATGGATTCGGGAGTCGTACCTCAAACACCTGACCAGGAATATGTAATGTATGGGTCCCTAACATTCAATGAGGATAATGATCCGTCAGGCTGGTGTTTGTTCAATAGTGAGGCCGTAGAGTACTGCGAGCACAGTGAGGAAGTAGACTTACTTGAACGTTCCGTGTTCAATAGTGATGAATACGAGATTTGTGATCACAGTGAGAAAGCGGATCACATTGAAGGTTTCGTGCTCAATAATGAAGAATTCGAGGTTTGTAAGCTGTAATTCGGTAGTACATTTTCAAATGAACGTTGCATAGCATCGATGCCTACAGATGATTGATCCTGCGACGAAGGAACTATCCCTTCTTCAAGTCACTCAACACAATCACCTTCGTTTGGATGAATCTATTACTCATGAGCAATTTCCTGTTACATAAATCTGCCTACCATGAAGGTCTCGTAAGTTTCTCACCTGACTTCTAAATCACCACTACTTTAGAGTACTTGTGCATTGTATAATGTTCGTTCTTTTCGACCCCCTGATATGCAAAACAATGAGAAATGCAGATTTAATTTATTTTGAGGTGAAATAATACGTGAAAGACCAATTGTTTCTAACGGTTCAATTATCTGTAGATGGTAAATGGAAATGGAATATTCGTCACATTACATTGCTTATTATTTAGGAATTCAACTTTCTTCGCCAACGCTTCGCCGGTTCCATCTCGAGCGTTCATTGTCTTTTATCCTTTCTTTCATTTCTGCACTGCCCATTGCTTTCTAACACACTTTTCCTTCTATTCTTGCGAAGGTTTTGTCTTCAATATCGTTCACCACCGGCATTTCCATGCTGGTTTTTCATACTGTCAATACTTATTGTCCATATCCATACTCTGTCGAATTGATTTTCGTTATCTTATCAATATTTTGAATGCTGTGAACTATATTTGAATAACAAATAAAGTTCCGGCGAAATGCTTGTAACATCTTTCATTACATCGTATGACTATCTGAACATAAAAAATTTGGATCTAAACGACCATCCAGTGGAAAATGGCCCGTGTCTGAAAAGGAGCTCTCTCAGAGTTGAAAAATATGGTTTACTGCTAATATCTTATAGAAGCGAAAAATAATCTAAGTACCTTTCTTCGATAGGGATGGCAAGACGCTGAAACGTGAAGAAATTACTATAAACGTCTTGTGGAATTCCTGGAAAAGAAAACTGAGCTAACATGGGTTCGGAAGGTCTTGCAATAGTACATTTAACCAATCATGAACATGAAGAAAGCCATGGACGTCCTGCTATTGACGAATATGAATGGACTTGAAGGTTCAGGCGGTACCAAATGCGCGCACAACTGTTCGAGAACTTGAGGGAGAACTGAGTATAGTGTGTATGCGAATGAGCTGTTCGGAGCATGTAGAGAATATTGGAAAGCCAAAAAGCTCGGGAAATGGGTGCTGTACGAAATGAAGAGCAATCAGGAAGAAATCGTCTGTCTTGAGATACCGACGGCGCTTATTCTCGACAATCAGAACGATCTGTTTCACGACGGTATTTTGGTAGGTGGCTGGAAATAGACCTTCTGTGATGACCGACGATGATGCCGACTTTATACTGCGTCCTTTCCAGCTTGGATGTGCCAAAAATTCAAGCATTCAGAAAAGTGATGGAGAATTTTAGGTTCTTAAAATATCCTGTTGAAAGCGGCAGCTGCTAACATAAGTGGGACATCGAGTCCACAGTTGTGTCATTTTCTATGAAATTTGGTCGTTTATCCATACTATACTACTTACTACTGTACTATACTACTGTCCTACTTACTACTGTCCATACTACTACTGTAAAAACTTTTTCATGAAAGATAGGAGGGTTTGAAGCTGGAAAAGACCATCATTTTTGTAACCTATGACGACTAAAAGAGCTTCGTTGCTTAGTTGTTGAAGAAATCACAAATAGTTTTACAGAGGATGTTAAAGAATGTTACCAATTTTTCCTACAAACTGTTATAGTTTGTTATACTGAAGAACGAGAAGGAGAACATGCTCCTATGAAATTCTTCGCTAGTCGAGCGTTTTTTCATGAAAATTTCGAATAAACAAACTTCAAATCTGAGGTTAGCAGGGTAAAAAATCGTTCTGATATATCGACTTATTAGAGTTCCGAAAAATTTAAAATAGCCGATTTTTGTGCTGTTACTTTGCTCATACCAAGGCTTTCGGATGGAAACGTCAGACTCCTCAGCTTGGAAGTCCTTCTTGGGGGATGAACTCTTTACTTTACATCGCCGCACGACCACATGGAAAATCTCCCGACCGCAATGAATGGCTAAACCGTTGCGAGGCAAAAATCAAAATAAAGATCGTATGTCTAAAAAAAATTGGGATTGAAGCGTTCAAAATCTAAAGCGATCCTATGCTTGCTTATCAAAACCTGCTCTCTACATGATGGCGCACGTTTGTTGTTTGATCATTTGAAAGATTTTCCGTAAAGCTCACAAGCACATATCCCGTTATTTTTGGAACCAGAGAAAGAAATCATAGCAGCCAAATAAACATCGATTTAACACATTGCTCTTTGAGCGTGAAAAAAACTGGCTGCTGCGTGACATACTTTGGTTGAGCCTTTCTCTTCACTCTCATATGTCTTGTAGACGTCCATAACCAAAATGCATATTGCACCGCTTAATTGGATGGCACTTAGGAAGGTATGACAAAGATATCGTTTCCTATCAATGGTTCTACGTTCATTCGCCAATATAAACCTAAAGGATCGATGTGTGTTTCCTGACAATGCAGCATGTAGTGTGAAATGCAGATTTTCCGAAAATATCCTCTCGGATTACAAAGAACTATGGTGACGAAATGAACCTACAATGCACGTTTACTTGCACCCGAATCCTCGATAGAAGACTTGCTCATGCAAGTAAGAAGGATAAGGGACGACGTCATCGGCCTGGGCGGGACAAGAACACGCCAGCCTTTTAACGCCGTCTATGACACCGGAGAAGAACTGTTCCTCGGAACATGCGGCAGTAGAGGAGCCGGCGGCGTCGGCGTTCTCGCCAACACGAGTTTATTCACGAACATCAATTTATTCGAACAACTTACAACCCGAATTGGACGTCTACGATTAAGAAGACGTGAACCAATTCCGGCTCTGACAATCTTCGTCGTTTACGCGCCGACATCAAACTATGACGAAGAAGAAGTCGAAGCGTTCTATATATAAGGACATGGAGAAGAAGAGAAGACCACACATTCTTCAAGGTCATCATTAGAGATTTCAACGCCAAGATTGGACTAAGAAGACCGTCCGAAGAACGTCACATTGGGGCCCACGGATTAGAATGGAACGAACAGGGTGAGCGGCTGTCTGAGTTTATCACGACGACCAAGACAATCCAAGGTAACTCGCAATTCCAGAAGCCCCACCCTCAACGCTGGACGTGGGAGTCTCCCAATGGAGAGTACCACAGCGATATAGACCACGTCATTGTAAATAGATTTTGCCTTACCGATGTTGCTATGATACCAAACCTCCACACGGGATAAGACCATCGCCTCCTTCGTGCAAGATTTCATTTCTCGCGCAAAGGAGAAAAGCCGCTAAATTCAAAAAAACGAGGCCTAAAACTACCATGAACTGGGGTTTATTCAATTGATTAGTCGGCTGTTAGGAAGATTCCGTTCTAGACAACATCGACAAAGAATACGACCGGCTCATTCATCATCTTCACGACAGCGCTATGAAACTTATATTTCTAAAGTCACCAAGAGACGTCTATCACCAGAAACACTCAAGCTGATGCGCCAGCGTGGAATCGCACGAGCTGCAGGCAACCGCGAACTAACGTCTGAACGTGCAAAATTATGCAGACAGGCGATAAAGGAAGATCGTAAAAAAAGATGGGAGCAATACTGGTCGGAGCTGCAGAGGCTGGGAAAAGCATTCGCAAACCCTACCGAAGCTTCGCCAATCACAATACCAAGACGATTGCGTTACTACGTCCAGACGGAACGGTTACAGCGTCCAGAAAGGCAATGCGGAAAATCATTCACGAATGCTACTCAGATTTATTCGATAGCCAAGTCCACTTTCCGTCATATGAAATAAGGGAGGATGGAAATGTTGTATCACCGGTTCTCCCTTCCGAAATCCTTCGTGCTATTTCGTCGCTGAAAAATCGAACAGCACCAGGTACTGACAGGATAAGACCAGAACTCTTGAAGAACCATCCGCCAGTCCTCGTAAACACACTGGCTCGGCTCTTCACACGTTACCTGTCTGAATGCGAGGTCCCTACTCAGCGGAAAACTAGCAAGACCGTGTTATTGTTCAAGAAGTGTGACCTGCACGATATCGGCAACTATCGCCCTATCTGCTTACTGTCCGTCGCCTACAAACTTTCCACTCGAGACATCCTAAACAGGATTGACAGAACACTAGACGAAGGACAGCCATGTGAGCAAGCAGGGTTTCGAAGAGGATTTAGTACGATGGACCATATCCACACGATAGCAAGGCTTATTGAAATATCGCGAGAGTACAAAAGACCGCTCCGTCTCACTTTCATCGATTTAAAGAAGGCCTTTGACTCACTTAAGTTAGAAGCAGTCATGGAAGCCCTTGATAGTCAAATAGTCCCTACTCAGTACATAAAGATTCTTCGTGAGCTGTACAAAATTTTCACAACCAAGATATCACCATTCTATAACGATATTAACATTGACGTCAAAAGAGGGGTTAGGCAAGGCGATAACGTCTTACCAAAATTACTTACCGCCACCCTCCAGAACGTCATGCGAACATTGGAATGGGACAACATGGGAGTGAAAATCGATGGTCGGCAGTTACATCATCCTCGCTTTGCTGATGACATCGTCCTTATAACACCAAACATTAGCCAAGCGGAACGTATGCTTGACGGCTTTGATAGAGCCTGTGGAAAGATTGGTCCTCGACTAAATCTCACAAAAACGATGTTCATGAAGAACGGATTGGTTTCGTATGCTGCATTCACGCTCAACGGAACGAATATCTCCGACAGCTCCAGTTATGTCTATCTAGGTCGGGAAATCAATAAGATGAACGACCTAGCTGCAGAGCTGAGCAGAAGAAAACGAGCGGCTTGGGGAGCTTTCAACAGCATCGAAGGATTAGTGAAAAGAACAAAGAACACCCAACACCGTACCCACCTTTTCGACTCAACGATGCTTCCTGCTCTAACGTATACGTCAGAAACCTGGTCGCTGCGTAAGCAGGGTGAAAGATCACTGAGCGGTATTGAACACACAGTCGAAAAGACGTTGCTAGGCGAATCCCGTTTCACACAAGTAAGGGATGGGATCCGAAGCTCGATCTGTCAACGATCAAAAATCAAAGATGCCGTTTTGTACGCCAAACAGTCGAAGATAAGGTGGGCCGGACACGTAA